GCTACTGTAACAGTCACAAAAGGGATGACAACTATGCGACTTACTGCTCCTGCTACTGTAACAGTCACAAAAGGGATGACAACTATGCGACTTACTGCTCCTGCTACTGTAACAGTCACAAAAGGGATGACAACCATGCCACCTACTGCTCCTGCTACTGTAACAGTCACAAAAGGGATGCCAACTATGCCACCTACTGCTCCTGCTACTGTAACAGTCACAAAAGGGATGACAACCATGCCACCTACTGCTCCTGCTACTGTAACAGTCACAAAAGGGATTCCAGCCATGCCACCTACTGCTCCTGCTACTGCTCCTGCTGCTGTGACAGTCACAAAAGGGATGCCAACTATGCCACCTACTGCTCCTGCTACTGTGAAATTCACAAAAGGGATTCCAACCATGGCACCTCGTACTCCTGCTCCTGCTAATGTGACAGTCACAAAAGGGATGCCAACTATGGCACTTACTGCTCCTGCTACTGTGACAGTGCCACCTACTGCTCCTGCTACTGTAACAGTCACAAAAGGGATGACAACCATGCCACCTACTGCCCCTGCTACTGTAACAGTAACAAAGGGGATGACAACCATGCCACCTACTGCTCCTGCTGCTGTAACAGTCACAAAAGGGATGACAACCATGCCACCTACTGCTCCTGCTGCTGTAACAGTCACAAAAGGGATGACAACCATGCCACCTACTGCTCCTGCTGCTGTAACAGTCACAAAAGGGATGACAAATATGCCACCTACTGCTCCTGCTACTGTGACAGTCACAAAAGGGATGACAACTATGCCACCTACTGCTCCTGCTACTGTAACAGTCCATCCCCTTTTGTGACTGTCACAGTAGCAGGAGCAGTAGGTGGCATGGTTGTCATCCCCTTTGTGACTGCTACAGCAGCAGGAGCAGTAGGTGCTATGGTTGGATTGCCCTTAGTGCGTGTCACAGTAGCTGGAGCAGTAGGTGGCATGGTTGGATTGTCCTTACTGGCTGTTACAGTAGCTGGAGCAGTGGACTGCGCAGATCGTGCCTCTTCCTTCTCCCTTTTCTCTTGCTTTTAAATAATAAAACATAAAAACGGTATCATAAATCAAGAAACGAGCAAGCTTAACGAAAATAAACCTACACCATTACCACTCCCCTCATCACCACAACCACCATACCTGAATTGCAATAAAAAAATGTGCGTGTACCCGTAAACGTTTGCCCTGTAACAGCAGCTGATAACTTTATTAATTGCTTTGATACATCTTTTGTGAACAGACGAGGACGCTAAAGCTGGGTTTACACTGCCGCCTTTTGTGTTGAGAAATTGGCAAATTGGACCAACTTCCCAACTATACAACTGACAATCGACAGTGTAAACGTGAAAGTCGCGCGACCAACCGATCGATAGCAACTAGTTGCGAGATTAGAGCATGTTCTATTTTCGCCAACTCGGAGTTTCCGAATTGCAAAATTGGTCCAACTCGCCAATTCGCGAACATAAAGTCGGTAGTGTAAACCCAGCTTAAGAGAGAGACTTTTCGGATAGGGTTTTAGTCTTTGCGACTAATAATCGGCGTACCTCTTCGAAGCGGTACAGGGCCTTCGCAGCAACAATGGCTTCGGTCTCCTGAACCTGAATCTTCTCCAACTCCTGGTCGAGCAAGGAAGCGTGTAAGCGCCGCAGCTTCGACGAGTCTTCATCATCGTCCTTGCTGAATAGCAAACGCACGAAGCTTCAGAGAAATGCCGCCATGATTCTGAGATGCAATTTCCTGCATTCTGAGGGTCAAAAATGACAATAAATTGACAAAAAATAACAATAATTAAAAAAAAAATCGTAGTTTGATACAAACTGGTCGTAGTGGTGCAAAAGGAATAGAAATTCGTATAAAAAACGGATAAATCGTAGTGGTTGGCATCTCTGCTACAGATGACCCACAGATCCATACAGATCCCTACAGATGCCGCCTTGCTGCCGGTCGCGGCTCTAACCTCGTTAGAATTACATCTAGTATCGACGACGTGAGATGAAGTGAAGCGGGGCCTAAATGCCTAGCTGATGTTTAAGATCAGGCAGGAGATAGTAATAACGTACGAATTAGCAAAGGGGATCGCATAGCGTGTTATACGTTGCACATTATATGATATAGGCTACGTGATGTATCACCTGTCATACACCACACGTTATACGTGACATATTAAACGTTAGGCCACCCTTAAAAAATTGTTTGTTTCCCCTTTTCCTACTCGCCTCACAGGTAGGTGAGAAATCTTCTTTATTTTGTTTTGACAAGATGTGTGTATGCATATTGTATATTCTGTTTTGTGTATATGTTTTTGTGAAACGAAATAATTTTTGTTTTGTTTTAATCGGCCAATAAAATGTGTCGAATAGTGGCGTTTTGGCGAGTCGGTCGGTAAAAAGGAAACAACCAATATTTTATCTTAGGCCTTATACATCACGTGTTATACACGACGTATTACATGTTATACATTACATTTTATACGTGACATATTACACATGTATTATAAATTACACGTCAAACGTTAAACGTAGCGCATTACGACACGCATGCTACACATTATGATGCGCACGCCATACGATACTTGCGCACGCCATACGATACTTACACATAACAGCACGTTCGATCCCTAAATATCCCTACAGATTCCTACAGAACCATACAGATGCCCCACAGATCTTTACACATGCCTACAGATGCCCTAAATATCCCTACAGATGCCCCACAGATCCCTACAGTACCATACAGATGCCCTAATAATGCCTACAGTACCATACAGATGCCCTAATAATGCCTACAGATGCTCCACAGATCTCTACACATGCCTACAGATGCCCTAAATTAAAATATCCCTACAGCAGAGATGCCAACACATATTTGAAGCAATCTGTAGTTTCTGTCCATCAAATTAGTAGTTCAAGGGTCACGTAGTGACCCGAGTTTGTTAGGGGGGTTCCGCATGCCCCCCCAAAAAATTTCTTGATTCTGAGATGCAATTTCCTGCATTCTGAGGGTCAAAAATGACAATAAATTGACAAAAAAGAACAATAATTAAAAATATATAAAAATTTCGATCACAGTGAAATTTGTAGTTTGATACAAACTGGTCGTAGTGGTGCAAAAGGAATAGAAATTCGTATAAAATACGGATAAATCGTAGTGGTTGGCATCTCTGCTACAGATGACCCACAGATCCATACACATGCCTACAGATCCCTACAGATGCCCTAAAGATGCCCCACAGATCTCTACACATGCCTACAGATGCCCTAAATATCCCTACAGATGACCCACAGATCCATACACATGCCTACAGATCCCTAAAGATGCCCCAGAGATCCATACACATGCCTACACATCCCTACAGATGCGCCACAGATCCCTACAGATGCCCTAATAATGCCTACAGATGCTCCACAAACCCCTACAGATGCTCCACAAACCCCTACAGATTCATACAGATGCCCCACAGACCCCTACAGATGCCCCACAGACACCTACAGATGCCCTAAAGATGCCTACAGATCAGCGACGCCCGGTGCATCCGGCACGGCGGCGGCGGCAGCGGCAGCGGGGGGCTTCTTCTGCGCGGGAGGCTGAGGCGCGAACCTCCTCTGGCGCCGGCCGTTGTTGTAGTTGCTCTTTGTGAGGTTCCTGAGCAGGTCCTGCAGGTCGGAGTAGGGTTGGTAGGGCGAGTCCTTCGGCGTGTTGCGCCAAAACAGGTACGGGTGGTAGCGCCGGTTACTCCGGCACGGCTCTCTTGCGGCCCTCTGCAACACGAGACGTTCGTTGTGCCCCACGTACGTACGCGCACGTTCCTCGTACTTACGCGTGCATGCCACGTATGTACGTAAGTACGCGTGCCACGTACATACATGTGCGTGCCACGTATGTACGCAAGTACGCGTGCCACGTACGTACATGTGCTTGCCACGTATGTACGTGCGCGTCCCACGTAAGAACGCGTGCCACGTACGCACATATGCGTGCCATGTACGTACGTGCGCATCCCACGTAAGTACGCGTGCCACGTACGTACATATGCGTGCCACGTATGTACGTGCGCGTGCCACGTAAGTACGCGTGCCACGTACGTACATATGCGTGCCACGTACATATGCGTGCCACGTACATATGCGTACCACGTACATGCACTCGCAATGTACGTTGTGCCACACATGCAGGCCCTCGAGACGGACCGGTGCCCACTACGTCGCCCGGCCGGAATCGACAATCAGTTTCAAACAGACAGCGTTCAGTCAGAAAACTTCACTTTAGTGGGAGAGGTCACGGTGAATATCACCGCCGCCGCGGAAACGACGCGTTGACGTTCGAACGAGAGCGTGTTAAAGGGTCTCTACGAGCAGGCAGGTACACAGAATATCGATTATGCGTGCTTTCAAGCACTACGACAGCCCCTACGGCCAGAAGCAATATTCTAGCCAGACAAAACTTACTATCAGGCAATCTAGATCTAGGCAACTAGGGTGGCATTCCACATAGCATAGTGGCACCACGTGGCATAGAGAACAAATGGCAAACGAGTAAGCGCATTCTGTCCAGTTGACCCCCCGTGCGATAACTCTCATTACGACGTACCAACGTCGTACGACGGGTTCCGAGTGCAGTGAAAACCTTAGAAGATAAGAGGCCAAAATGTGCGAGTGAGAAGGTGGAAGGCTGCGAACTACATGAGAAAAATGCAGATTGTTTTAAAGCACCACCACTGCAAGCCGTGCTCTCTGCGATAGCGACTACGATACAACCACGGCAAAACCACACCATCACCGTCAACGCTCCATGCACTAGCTAGGCCATAATAAAAATATTGTTTGTTTGCCCTCACCCGACCGACCCTCCAAAAAGGGGCCGACTCAAAATTTTTTATTGATCTTTCCCATCCTTTTTTTTTTACAAATTGTATCGCTGAACATTATATAAATCTGTAGGCAATACATTATATTTACCAAGCAAAACAAACATTCCATGTAGACACCATGCTGAATTTGTAAAAAAAAAAACACTAAAAAAAAGAGAAGAAGCCTACCTACCCACCCAAACTTTTCAGCCTGGGTCGGGTGAGGGCAAACAAAGTTTTTTTAAATTGTGGCCCTACTGAGAGACAAACAGAAAACACCACCGCCACAACGATGACGACCACTACGACCACCACCACCACCACCACCACCACCACCACCACAACGATGATGACGACGACCAACACCACCACCACGATGACGACGACGATGACCACCACCACCACCACCACGATGACGACGACGATGACCACCACCATGATGACGACGACCACCACCACAACAAGCTTTGCTGACTCTATCTATCGGCAATGGAAGCAAGTCACTGTCTGTCAAAAGCACGCACATACATGCTGGCCTACCACTACGAAAAGCTTTGACGCCTTTTTCTATCGGCAACAAGCTAGGAAGCGACTGCCACAAGCACGCACATGCTGGCACGTCACAGGAGAGCGCATGCTGTCGTAGATTCGCCCACCTAATACTTTACCGCTCCTCTGATGTACGTGGTTTCCCCACCGAGGACCCGCCGGCCGCCGCCAATCTGGCCCTGCGGTGGCGCCCCCGCGGATCGAGAACGCGACGCGCCCGCGTCCCGCGCCTGTGAGCCGAGGGACGGGCGACCACGTGCCGCCGCGCCTGCCGGCGGCGGCCCCGCCCCGGTGGAAGGGCGACGGGTGGCTCGACCCCTCGACGAGAGAAGGCTCGAGAGAGGAGCCTGGAGAGGGATCGGTCTCGACGACGCCGGCGCGGGGGTCGGTTTCCGACAGCGACCTGCGCTACAATTAGAAGCAATTATTTTTTTATGGCTTTCGCGCGAGCGGAAGCACGTCCGTCGCTGCGTGTCGCTGTTGGAAGAATAAAGCGATTTGGTCAGCGTCAAGCACAATTTTCTTAAGCACAATTTAAGGAATTTTTACACGGCGCTGTTAGATGTGTATATTACCAAGCACGGCATGTGCAGTTTCCTTAAATTGTCTACGTCACGTATTTTCTATGGTAAAATTTGTAAAATTTTTGTTGCCATTTTTTTACATTAAAAGTAAGAACTAACAGGACTAAACGTATCGTCAAATTCTTACCTGATAAGATTGTTTCTCAACTAGTTAAAAACCTCGACGATTTGATATTATGTTCCCGACATTAATTGCTTGCTATGGGCTATAGTATATGTATGAGTCACGATTGTATGTTCATTTTACTCGAAAATACATGACGACATTGGTTTTATTGGGACCCATGTTCTCTATCCTTGAACCCTAGTAACTATAACCCGCGGACAGTTGCCAGCGGCAAACGTACGCGGGCAATAGTTACTAGAGCTATTATTACTACTACTACTACTAGTACTGACTACTCTACTACTGTGGTCCCTTATCAGTTATCGTGAAATAAGTGAATTTGTGTTAAAACTAAATGTTACAGGATTGTTGACAACAGTGTACTGGAGTGCAAATGTATATAAACCACAATATAAATAAGTTTTTTTTTCTTCACTTTTTGCTGTATTGATCCAGCTCGCTGGGCAGAAAATTACCAAAATAAACAGAATCAAAACAAACGCCAATTCCAAAGCTCAAGAAAAGACCCAGCGGCTGTAGTAAACAATAAAAAACGCAGTTACAAAAAAAACACTTTAGTAACCACACAATGCATTAGCTAAACTACAAGTACGATGTTTCAGCTTAGTTCAGGTTTCCAAATACTTACCGAAACCATATCGTTACGGTAGAAATTCATGACACCGAGAGAACTTTTTCTTGAAGTAGTCAAACTTCCACCATTTCTGTTTTCATCTGCAGCGTCAGTGGCTGGGGGTTGATGCGGCACCTGCTGACATCTAGTGGAGGAATTAAGTAATTTTGCGTCCTTAGTACATAATTCATTCCCGCGTGGGGATCCTTCTCCTCTACACGAACCGCTCTTCTCTGTGTCTTGCGCCAGCCGCTTCCCGCCTTGACTGGGGCTTTTGGACGGCCCATCGGCTCCACTGGACGTGGCCTCCTCCTCAGACCTTCCCGACGCACTGCTCAACTTCCGTGACCTTCGCGCAGGACTGCGCGACCTTCGGAGGCTTCCTCTAGGACTCTTGGAGCTTCGCAAACTTCTGCCGGGGCTGCTCGACTTGGCGGAATCTTCCCTGGGGGTGTTCGATCGTCTGCTACTTCCTCGGGGGCTCTGCAGCCTTCCGGAACGTTCTCCCGTGATACTCGGCTTACTCCCCCTGGGGCTATTCGACCCCCTGGCGGATCGCGTGGGGCTGCCTGATCTTCGGCGACTTCCCACGGGGCTGCTGGACCCTCTGGTATTTTTTCGGGGACCGCCGAACCTTTTGGAATTGCTTCGGGGACTACCGGACCTTTTGGATTTTGTCCGGGGACTGCCGGACCTTCCGGAATTTCTTCGGGGACTTCTGGACCTTTTGGAATTTCTGTGGGGACTGCCGGACCTTCTGGAATTTTTCCGGGGACTCCTGGACCTTCTGGAATTTCTCCAGGGACTGCCGGACCTTCTGGAATTTCTCCAAGGACTGCTGGACCTTCTGGAATGTCCTTGGGGACTGTTAGACCTGAAATTTTTACGGGGACTGCTGGACCTTCTGGAATTAACTCGGGGACTGTGAGACCCTCGGTACGATTCCCGGCCATCGGGTACCCACGCAGAACTTTCTACAATAATGTTTAGTTGTCTGTTGGAACCATCTCCGGGACTGTTTGAATAACTGCCGACGGTTTGCATGAGCACGTCACTGCTAGCATTAGCTACATTACCAGCGTTCGACTGAAACGAGCGCTGCAGGCCGCGGTGTTGCGACGTTGCCATGCTGCTAGTAGGTAGCGGTATATCTCTGGGTGTGAGAGACTGGGCGAATGCTGGGTCCGTCGCTGTAGCAGTAATAGGCGGGCACGCCGGCGCTGGGCCCGACGGCAGAACGCGCGCTTGTTCGAGTGCGGCACGCTCTGGCACGAGCCTGCCCTGCTGCCAACCGTCAGATGACAAGAGAGTCCGATTCGTCTGCCCGATTTCGTTAGTCGCGCAGTCCTGCCAGTTTCCCGCAGGCGGCAAGAGACGTGGCATCGGAGGAAGAGGTGCTCTCCTTTGTTCCCAATCGGCAAACTGCGCTTGCTGCATCATCTCCCCCGGCGGCGGCGGCGGCGGCGGCGGAGGAGGACTGTTTCCCCAGTTAACGATGGCGGGGGCAGGACGGCCGCCACCGTGAGGAAAGCCGGGCCGCACGGCGGCGTGAGAGAGAGCAAGACCGAGGAAGTCGTGCGCGGGCACGCCTGGGACAGGTAGCCGCGCGACGCCGGGCACGCCGAAGCTCCACACGCGCTCGGTCGCCGTCGGCAACGGAGGCAGAGGAAGCGATGGCGGGGACGAGGACGGCAGCGGCGGCGCCGTCGCGATCTCGCGCACGACGGCAACGGGAGCCGCGACGGACCCGCGAGGCCACCCCGCCCCGCCCTGCCTCGCCCCGACGCCGCGCTCGTCCCCGCCTCCAGGGGGCGCCGACGCGCGCACCGAGTCGACGGCGTCCCTCCTCTGCCAGGTCGGCGCGAAGTCGGGCGCCGCCGCCGCCGCCTCTAGCATGGGGGACATGCGCACGGGTATGCGCGCAGTGTTCCCGCCCTGCGGCGACCCCGCGACCTCCTGGGCGACGGACGGCGAGATCGGAACGAGCACGGGGATGCGCCGCGCGGCGCCCTCCGGCGAGCGCCCGCCGCGCGGCGACACCTGCTGGCGGACGCGCAACCCGTCGCTCTCCGGCGTCGGCAACAGGGGGCGCCGCCGCGGCTCCTCCGCGTCGCGGTCGGCGCCGTGCGGCGCCACCTGGTTGTCGTCAGACGCGGGAGACGACGCGACGTGGGGCGGCGAGCGTTGTCCTGGCGGCGCGAGGTAAGGGGGAGTGAGGTCTGGCTGCCGGCTCCGCATGGCGAAACGCTCGCGGATGCTGCGCAACGCATCCCGGATGGAAGCCGGCGTCGGCGACGAGGCGAGCGACCGGTCCGCGATCCCGGCGGCGGCGGAGAGGATGGGGAGAGTAGCGGTCGCATCCGTCGCGAACGACGACGACGAGCCTCTCCACCCCCGTTCGTTAATCGGCGATCCCGCGCGCGCCGCCTCTCCGCCTCTCTCGATCGACGCGTTCTCGCGCGCGACGGCACGTTCGGGACGCGACATCCACGACGGCCGATCGCGGCTCTCGGCCGCGGGCGACGTCATCGTCGGCCGATCGCGGCTCTCGGCCGCGGGCGACGTCATCGCCGGCCAATCGCGGCTCTCGGCCGCGGGCGACGTCATCGCCGGTCGATCGCGGCTCTCGGCCGCGGGCGACGTCATCGTCGGCCAATCGCGGCCCTCGGCCTGCAACCTGACCTCCCCGACCTCCCCATCGCTCGTCGGCGACGCCTCTCCCTCGTCCGAGTCGATGTTCTCGCGCAGGAACTGCATCACGATGGGGTCGGCGAGACGCCTCGACGGCGTTACCGGGGTCGCCGGCGTTACCGGGGTCGCCGGCGTTACCGGCGTCGTCGGCAGGGGCGGCGAGGTCGTCGTCGTCGCTGCCGCCGCAGCATCGCTGGGGTCAGAGGGCGTCGTTGTCGTCGTCGTCGTCGTCGTCGTCGTCGTCGTTTGCATGATGTCGAGGCCGGGGAGCCGGTGGTCGAGGCTGACCCCCAGCGCGTTCTGCGAGCCGACCATGTCGAACACGCTGCAGGCGCGTCGCGACACGGCGTCGCGCGCGCACTGTCGCGGGTCGCCGCCGACGACGCACGCCGCCGTCGCCGCGACCCCGCACGACCCCGCCGCTGCAGCGACCCCGCTCACGCGCCGCAGCCGCCAGCGCAGCCCCGCCGCGACGTAGATCGGCGGCCGGAACGCCACCTCCGGTTCGTCGTCGTCGTCGTCGTCGTTGTCCGCGGCGACGGCAGCGGGGGCGCCCCCTGTCTCCTCCCTCTCGGCGGCGACGACTGGGAGAGGTTCGTACTCGGCGTGCTGGCCTCGCTTCCTCCTCCGGCGCCGCCGGCGCCCGTCCGACGCCGCGCTCTCGCCGTAGCTTCTCCCACGAGTCTTCCTCTTCTCGTCGGCCATCCTCTCCCCCTCCCCCGGCGGAGGAGGAGACGGGCTTCTCCACGGCGGCGGCTCGGGGCTGCTGCTACTGCCGGACGCCGAGGAGGAGTCTGCGGGGGAGAAGGAACCCGGCTGCTCCGTCGGCGTCGCGCGCGCGTCCGTCGCCGCGGCGACCGGAGGAGAGGGCGCGTCGCCGTCGCTCTCGCCGCCGGTGCTGCCCTCTAGCAGCGCCTCGTGTCCCAGCTCCTCGGCGACGGAGCGCTCGAACTCGCTCGGGGAGAGGCGTGTCGCCGTGCGCCAGCCTCCTCCTCTTCCTCCTCCTCCTCCTCCTCCTCCATCTCCTCCTCCTCCGCTGCCGCCGTGAAACGACGTGTTGACGTCCACCGCGGTGTTTTCAGACTGTCCAATAATCTCACTGGAGGGATCGCCGCCAACCACCTGGAATTTACCGGAGGGACCTTCTACAGCCTGGAATACACCGGAGGGATCGTCCGCCATCCGGAATCCGCCGGAGGGATCGCCTGCTGCCTGGAATCCACCGGAGGAATTATCCACAACTCGGAATCCACCGGAGGGATTATCCGCCATCCGGAATCCACCGGAGGGATCGCCTGCTGCCTGGAATCCACCGGAAGGATTATCCGTCATCTGGAATTCACCGGAAGGATCGTCCAATGCCTGGAATCCGGAGGATGCATCGTCCGGCGTGTGAACGACAATGACGGGCACTCCGGAGAACGCTGCGACCGCCGGCGTCTCTGCTGCCGGACGATCGCTCGTCGCGAGGTCAGCGGGGGTCGTCGTCGCGGCGACCTGAAGTCGCTGCTGCTGCAGAAAGTACTTCTGGACCTGCGGCTGCACATCGAACGAACGCTGCACTTTCAGCGGCAAGATCTGTAATGAGATATAGGATCGAGTATATTAGAGATGTACTATCAAGTAGAGATGTATTATCGAGTATACATTATTAGATATGTAACGAGAGATAGGATAATATTTTTAGCCTATAATCTAAATCTAATATTATTATAATATACTACATATATAATATCTAATAAACGAATATAATCTAAATATAATAAGTCTATCTGTCTGATAATATCTGTAGTTTATAATCTATATATAAATATATACTATATATAATATCTAATGAATTAATATATATAAATATGATATATTTATCTGGCTCATGATATCTAACATCGAGATAAGATCTGTAGCTATATCGCCATACGATGTAAACGTATGACATGATTACATAGTATGACATATAATGATTACAATGTCGTACGATGCTTATTACACATGTAACATGTACATCGTGATGAGATAGGATAACAGCTGTAGTCTATAATCTAAATATAATAATATACTATACATAATATCTAATATAATACTATAAAATAAACATAATGTATCTATCTATCTGATGATATATAACATCGAGATAAGACCTGTAGCTATATCGGCGTATGATGCACAAGATATACGATCGCTGCAGATGTCTCTCTTTGAAATAGTGGGCCAGAAAAGATCGCCGAAGTCACGCACAAACATGCGAACGTATCACACACGGCAGGGGAATTTCCCGTACAGCAGTGCAGGGCGATCGACCGGCTACACAATCCAGTAGACCAGTCAAACGGACCCGACCCATCTCCGACAACGGCGCGGGGAATTCGAAAATAAAAATACCCGTATGATAAATAAAGATATAAAATAAAATAGAAGCGCCAAAGTTACCTTCGCTTGTGACGGCACGTCAGACTTGAATCCACGGTTGTATTCATGTTCCGACGTCGCCGCAAAGCTAGGAGGGACGACCTCTGCGTCGCTACGGGCTACAGACGAAATTGTGACACTTTCATTGCTGATCAACTACATGCATACATGTTATAGACACTCTGTTATCCTCCTAGACATTTAATCTCTGCATATATAATATGTATAATATATATTTTCATATGATTACAAATCACTACTTTAATGCTCACAGCTATGCATTTGACAGTATTATATATATATACATTCAGGTGTAATTAAATTATTACTTAGGTATAATCACTTAATTAATTAAATTCCTCCTTTTTTATCAATAATAAGAGTAATCGGAAAAAAAACAAGTAAACTATTCTAATGCTGATCATTCCATCATTCTGATATACAACTAACAGACAATTCCATGCGTGTAAGATAGAGAGAAAGAGGGAGACAAAAAGAAAGAGAGAGAGAGAGAGAGGAGAGAAAGAGAGGGAGCGAGAGAAAGGAAGAAAGGGAGAGAAAGAGAGAGGGAGAGAAAGAAAGAGAGAGAGAGAGAGAAAAAAGAAAGAAAGAGAGAGAGAGGGAGACAAAGAAAGAGAGAGAGAGAGAGAGAGAGAGAGGAAAAAAGGAGAGAGCAAAAGAGAGAGAGAGAGAGAGAGAGAGAGGGAGAAGAGAGTGATAGAGTCAGAGAGAAAGAGAGAGAGAGAGATAAGAGAGAGAGAGATAAGAGAGAGAAGGAGGGAGGGAGGGAGGGAGAGAGAGAGAGAGAGAGAGAGAGAGAGAGAGAGAGAGACGAAGTGACGAATTGTGGGAAGGAGATAAAACTGAGAGAGCACACTGCAAAAGAAAGGAAATCGCGACGAAAACACCGAAAGTCGAAGCACTCAGCACATGCCTGTCATGCGACGCTGCCACTCAAAGCACCTTTGCAGGACTGACAATGTGATCTGGGGTTTTGGTGCGCTACAGACGGACGCAGACGACGTACACCCTGAAACACATGCATCATGCTACCACCACCACCACCACCACTACCACCACTACCGCACAGCTCAGCAAAAGCAACAAGACTGACTGAAAGCAGCAAGCATGACAATGATTTACTCATTCCGAACAACTGTTGACATGCATACGTTACTGACTACGGTACGCACGTTACAGACTACAATACCAAAACCATCCGCTACCGCTATGCAGCCGAATGCCAACACCGAAAGCACACCGAAATACCGCTACACACGCCGAAAAATGCAGAATATGTGACACCGCTAAAAATGCGTGAGCGCCTTACCGCTACAGCTCAGATCTCCTGCTGTTCGGTCCAGACGTTCGGAGGTGGAAACTGCAACGGGAGAAACGCACGCCGTGAATCGAGATTTCGCCGGCGGCAGACGATAAAATTCGGCTGCTATCAAAGTCAGAAGAAATCGACAAGAAGGCGGAAGAATGCTACGGCAGGTACGTTGGGAGACATCCTAAACTCTGGCTAAACTCAAAGCTGGCAGACGAACAGCACATCGATCAATCGAGTGATCGATCAATCGATTGATTGATTAATCGATCTGCCGTTCGTCTGCCGAGTTTAGCCAGCCGCATGACGTACCCGCCGTAGCATTCTTCTGCCCCTTATCGATTTCTTCTAACTTTGATCGATTTATTGATTGATTGATTGATTGATTGATTGGCAGACGCACCTCGTAGAAGGTCGGCTCGCTCGGTCAGACTGCGTGGCGACGTGAAGACGCAGTGAAGCTCTCCACCTCCGTTCGCGGGCAGACCTGCAGATGGAGACACCGGTCGCACGCGAGGGTTGTGACATCACACGTAACGCGTCAACGCTCGAGACGACGACGATTAGGAGCGCGATCGACTCGAATCGGTAACGTGCGAATCATTATTTAATTTAATTTTTATTTTTTTTCGATTAAATTCATCATTTAAAATTAGTTTAATTAGTGATTATTAAGATAATCGTTAGCGAATCCCTCTATAGAACAAACACCTGTCTACAAAGGACATTTTTAGCAGTACCACCTCCACAGAACAGACACCAGTCTATAAAGGACATTTTTACGGGCTTCCCTTGAGTGACTCTTATAATGTACAGTAGTAATGACTTAATGTACATGTTTGTATTACATAACAGTATGAAGTTGCTCATGTTACTACAGTCATGGGTATACATGCCTAAAGACTGGGTCAGGTCACAGTTTGGGAGTATTACCAGCTCCACACTGTCCTCTAGTCTGGCAATAGCTGCCTGAAACAGACATAAGAACATCGTTAACACCATAAATTGATCAATAGTATTACATAGCTGGACTTCAAAATTACCGTAAAGATATCCTAATGCCTAGGTGCACATTAAAGCTTGTGCCACCATCATGATTCGATAATGCACATTATTTTATGTTCACTGCACATTGTTATGTGTTCACTACACGTTATTATATGTTCACTGCATATTGTTATGTGTTCACTGCACGTTATTATGTGTTCACCGCACAGTTGTTCGGTGTTCACTACACATTATTATATATGTTCACTGCACATTGTTATGTGTCCACTACACGTTATTATGTGTTCACCGCACAGTTGTTCAGTGTTCACTACACGTTATTATATGTTCACCGCACATTATTACGTGTTGACCGCGCGTTGTTCGATGTTCACTTCTTAATCGGAATCATTTCCACGACTCCCGACCCATCCCGCCTAAACCGGGAACTGCCACATCGAACGTCGCGTCCATGACTCTCACCAGGTCGCGCCGGCGCAGGTAGGAGGCGACCTTGAGCACGACCTCATGGTGGCGGCGCGCACGCAGACGTGCATACGACAAGTGAACGCCCTTCACGCAGTGCTCGCGGCTCGGGTGAAGGTCGGAGAGAAGGCCGAGGTAACGCGTCCGCATGCTCGCCATAGGTAGCTGCTTAGTGATGTTCAATTGTTCGCCGCTGCAACAGACGCGAGAAAGGTCATGATGTTCAATTGTTCCTCGCTGCAACACGCGAAAGGTCATGGTGTTTAATTGTCACACACATGCACGCTGCCCCACACGCACGCACGCACGCACCACGCACCACACACACACGCACACACACGCAACACACACACACACACACACACACGCAGACACACACAGACACACACAGACACGCACGCACGCACGCACGCACGCACGCACGCACGCACGCACGCACGCACGCACGCACGCACGCACGCACGCACGCACGCACACACACACACACACCCACACACCCCCACACACACACGCACACACACACGTGCTGCGTCGGCGACTCACATTCTCGCAGGCTTGATGGCGGACACGCGAGACAGTAGCTCGACCTCGGCGAGCGTGCGGTGCCGATTCTTCAACACGCCCGTCCAGATGCGCATGCCCTCGCTCGGCGTCTTGCCCACGAGGGGGCGCTGCAATGCGGACTCGTGAGGCGAACCCTTGGCGGGTGTCCTTGCCGCATCTGCAGCAGCCACCTGTCTGTTTGAGCGACGGAAATCCAATGTTATTATTATTATTATCATGTCTTCATTGCATGTAATTCAAATACAAATACATGTACTGAAGGCAGTCTTTTTCATGGGGAAAAATCTGATATATGCAATAGTGATGAATATATAATTTGAAAAGAGACACTCGACTTAAAAAAATTCATAATAACTACATAACATCAGTGGTTTTAGTGTACAGTATCGCTCTTCGTACGAAATACCATTTTTACTCAAATTCATAGTTTTAGACGGACAAGGATAAGAACCGTCACTTTCTTGCTTACCTTGGGATATTGCTTGCAGACCCATCACAAAATAGAAAGTGCAGAAGAGCGTAGGGCAGAACCTGTCTAGGTGTGGGCACAATTTCACAGTCTTCATAATCATAGATATACAGCTGAAATACACACAGCCAGAGAAATGCCCTATAACTGCTTATTAATTACGACAGCGCTATTCGAAACACGCTACATGCTGCGAAATTCAACCATCAAAAATGAATTCTTATGGTTATGGAAGAGAGATAGTCTTGCATATATCACGTTACAAATCGAATTTCCTTCTCCACGTCATATGCCGCGTAACTGATATAAAATCACGGCAAGGCCCAAATTAAGCGATGAGAGGGGCAAGGCAATTTTTTAGGGCATGTGAGAAATCGCCTTGAATTTTCTTTAAAATGGAAGGGCACCGAGGCAATTTTAAAAGGCACCAATTAAGGCAACTCTCAAAATTTGAGAAGGGCACCAAGGCACTTTTACCACCCCTGTACCCCCATCTGCTAATGGAAGTACAGTAACAAGAAATTTTACATGCCCACTATCAGGAGCGAATAATTATCCGATGCTGTTATTATTCCCTCATGCGACTATCGGTTTCAAGCTCATCATTGCAACTACAGCACACGCACGCGCGCGCGTTATGTTGACTCGACTATAATCGAAACCAGGGCAGTAGATTAAAGGGCACCGGGTTAATTCGAGCCCTGAATCACGGCGTTGCCGCCCGTCGGAGTCATGAGACGATTCCTCCGTAGTTACCTTGTTCGAGAAATACGTTCTGCCGACGTGAGCGTCGTAGTTCGGCGTCGGTTCGCGTTCAGCATTAACCAGGTCCTCCGATATCGTCTTTACCCTTCCCTGAAGGTCACACAACAGGTGCCGTTAGAAATCTTTCGTGGTTTGCAGTCTGCACGAAAAACTTTCACCCTCATTGGCCCAGCGGGCCTGTAGAAATGTATAATTCACTGGCCCACACTAGGTTTTACAGGCCCGAATCAATGATCATTATATTATGAAAAGAGAAACCGAACCGGACCGGAAACCGGAAGTTGTTGCGACCTGTAGCAGTGACAAACACGCATGGTGTTGACTAGTTACTTCCTCTACTTAAGATCGGGAATATGATGCCCTATCGGTAAATATCGGTAAATTTTCATGATTGATCATCACATAAAGAAGCTGAAATATCATTAATAGAATATTTACTCCATTTTTTTCCACTGGCCCATCGGGCTTGTTCATTTACCAGTTTCATTGGCCCCGCGGGAAATTTACTGGCCTCGGATACCGGGCCAGTGGTTAATTTCGCAGACTGGGTTTGCGAAATATTTCCAAAGCATGTATGTGTCCACGTGTGCATGCATGTATGTGTCCACGTGTGCACGCATGCGTGTGGTGCGTGCATGCATGTGTACGAGCATATCTGTTAGTGATGTCACGATCATCGATTATACTCGATCATCGGTTGAACAGTGGCTCGAACCAAGCGCTTAGTGATGTCACGATCATCGATTATACTCGATCATCGGTTGAACATTGGCTCGAACCAAGCGCTTGGTTATCAAAATCCATAATCGATTTCATCGGGAAAAAAATTTTTTTTTTTTTTAACTTGAACAAGAAAACTTGGAAAAGTGATGAGAATCAGAGATATCATCGCTACTATACAAGTCATCCTTTATTAACATAGATGTATTATACACACAGTAGTAATCAGTGCAAAACAAACAGTAAACAGGGCTAAACAAGCACATACATGCACACACGTACATGCGCACGACGTTACGCACACGCAGGCATTCTACACCCCGAGTAACCGATTGTAACCGATCATCGGTTACTTGGGTCCAACCGATGATCGATTACGAAATTACAACCGATTGACAACACTAATATCTGTTAGCGAAGGTCCGAGATCCGTCCTCACCTTAATAATCTTGAACACAGCAAGCACACGTTCGTCGCTATTCCTTATAATTTGCTTTACCTGGTCGGCATGACGACTGAGCACAACACCTGTAAACACAGACGCGTCACCTTGAATCATTAAATAAGTTCATTCGGTTGATAGACTAATAGATGTAACAGGGTTAATTGTTACTCAACCGTGAAGATTGGAAACGTACCGCTTACGTTTCGCCTCCTGCCAGGAGGCTTTCTCAAAGCTAACTGATGATTATCAGTTTTGACCACCAGATGGTGTGGTGGTCAATAGCTTAGTCCACACGTGACTGAGACTGTATCCCCCCCTCGTCGCCCAATCAAAATCAGGCGATGGATTAAGGAGGCCATCTGGATCCGCAAGACCCCGAACATCAACCGTGACGAGGGGGGATACAGACTCAGTCACGTGTGGACCAAGCTATTGACCACCACACCATCTGGTGGCTAAAACTGATAATCATCAGTTAGCTTTGAGAAAGCCTCCTGGCACTGTGGTAGGAAGCGAAACGTAAGCGGTACGTTTCCAATCTTCACGGTTGAGTAACAATTAACCCTGTTATATCTACCACCTTGAATGTCTACACATTTTAATATAATTATGTAATCTAATACATATGTAATTAACCAGTAAGAATGACACTGTTTGCCTCAAACACAGTTACGGATGTTAACTTTAGCTGAACATCACGGAAGCAGAATTGCAAAATTGGGTAATGGCACTTTAATGAAATTCCATTAAACAAATAGTGCTACACATTATTAAAGCCACTATTACGAGAGTTTTGCTCAGAAACCCTCAACCCCCAAAAAATATAGCAAAATATAGTCTCACCTCACAGCGGATATATCACTGATCACACCAGCATTAAAAACACCAAGATTTTATGCAGTTATAGCATAGAAAATTGGATGTGAACACATTTGTAACAGCAATGCATTTTATCGTGTCGCGATAATGGCAGAATTGGTAAACTTGTAAATTGTCGGTGATAAATTGAAAACAAGTGCTGCATTTGAGAGAGACTGTATGTCTATGGCAGGTAGGCGGCGGCGCTACTAACTAGTCCAAGACTACCAGCTCTAGTTTCAAGACTACAGCAAACGATTGTTTACCAAACTAGTTCGAAAATTGCCTGTTTTGGTGAATACGACCTTTTATCGTTACTCTAGACAATTGCTGTTACTCAAGCAATAACGGCAGGTATCATGAAAGTGGTGAAAACACTGGGAAAACTCTTGTAACAATTACTTTAATGTTAGTAATCGCAATGAAATTTTCGAGGCCAATTCCACATTTTTTCATCGAGTTCTAATTGTAATAGAGGTGATGAACGTGGGCGGGAACCGGGCGGGGGCCGGGGGCGTGAGTGAGGGAAAGGATACCGAAACACACGGGCGACGCGGGGCGTGAGTGAGGGAAAGGATGAATTATGGTTTGCTCGCATGCAATATACATGGAGATATTACACACCCATGTCTGGTTTTCCCAGCATCATAATACTGCTGTTTCCCACCGGAAGTCCTTCCTCTGCAACTCTCCTTCTCTGTACGGTATAAAACGCACAGGTGAGGCCACAAATAATTCAACTGCGATGATTACATACTGATGTGCTTACAGTCTTATTCATACATCAGTTTATATCTATCTTTTCGATACCTTATATATATATATATTTATGGCCACACAAGTGAAATATTCTAATCTTCGTTTAATGATGATTTCATTGCTCAGTTGTACAGACTTACGTCTGCTGCATCAATGATGGTAAAGGCAAATGTCTCGCTCAGCTCCTTCTCTGATCTACCTTCTTCTTTCAGCTGCTTCTTCTTCTCCTGAAACTATAGGAACACACATCTGTTCAATTTCAATCATGATGACGCATACTCTGCCATCATACTAAGATTGATGCTATCATTCATCAGGGGTAGATATTAACTTTTGAACAAGGGAGCCCAACGAACTCCCTGCCCTCTAAAAGAGGAAGTCCGCAGCAAAATGAGGGAGTCCGCAGTCTGAAATTCAAAACTAAAGCATAACAACAATAACACGTGCTTATTTTTAAGATTCATGCGATGCATGTCTGCTAAATGTTCTTTGAATATTTGCTGGAAAAATACGGTAATTCCGTGAAGTCGTGCTCTGAAACGAACTAGTTAGTATCGCAGAATTTTCAGGGAGTCACACGGACTCCTGCATATTATGTCAAATCAGGGAGTCCGACAGTAAATCAGGGAGTATTTGACTCCGGACTCCCGTTAATTTCGCACCCTGATTCATTGTATTTACCAGGCGAGTGACCACACAAAGTACCTTTATATATAGGTAGTAAACATAGAATTTACCTAACTAAGTATCACCCAAAAAGCGACAATACACTCACCATAAATGACCCCACGTACGATCTAAAATTGAATTTTTTTTGCGAAAAAACGCGTGTGGACATCACTGCCGCAAGCATTAGCCTACGAACACACGCGATTCCAGTATAAAACACGAGATGCCGCGAGACTACGCTATAGAATGTCACAACAGATTGCCGTGAGATTTCTATGACGCGTTGCCGACTGTCCTACCTAGAATGTTATATATATATATATCAAGAGCTCATAATAAAGAAAAGTATGACACCGTTTTAACAGCGTTTTGCATAGTTTTCAACTTGTAAATATTCTATCAATATGTGAATAAATATATTCAAACTTTACCTTGTTTTCGTCTATGATTCTCCCTTAATCATATGACACGACCAATTTACCTGAAAATCGTATGTGTTCTTCAAAAAAGTTCTTTGAAGCACTGCTAAACAACACAGCTAAAATCAGCGGCTAGCTCGCCATGAGCACACGTTTATTTCTAGCATGCTGGAAACGCTACACGCTGAATACAATTCGATGCCTAATATCCCCAACAGCCCCCAGCGTTCCGTCATAGACAATAGAACACTAATCCGATAATAAACTTGCGCCACATAGATGCGAACATTAGGGAAAACTGTGTGAAACCGTGTCGTATTCAAATAACTTTTTTGAAGAACACATACGATTTTCAGGTAAATTGGTGGTGTCATAAGATTAAGGGAGCATCATAGACAAAAACAAGGTAAAGTTTGAATATATTTATATACCCTTATTGATAGAATATTTACAAGTTGAAAACTATGCAAAACACTGTTAAAACGGTGTCATACTCTTCTCTGTTATGAGCTCTTGATATATATGTCTAGATATAGAATGTTACCACACTCCTTATACCTTCTGCAGACGCTCGTTGTTGTTAACGACGAAGGCTTTCGTGAAGGAGAACTTGCCGGCGGATGCCGGGGAGCTGTACGATCGAGTCACGTTCGGCAGCAGCGTGTGAACAAACTCTCTCGACGTGAGGCTCACCTCCTCTAGCAGCTCTGCAATAGGAGGGGAAGAAATTAATTTGAAAATTTACAGGCCAGTCGGGCCTGTAGACCTGTAAGGAATTTTACAGGCCCGACAGGCAAATTACAGGCCCGCGTTGAACTGCAGATACCGCGGAATTAAAAAAAAACAAGACTAAAATTTAAATTTTTTACAATTTGGCTTATTTACAGTAATACAAAGAACATATTCAGTGACTACTAATGAGCTGTCAGAATTCTCACTGTCCTCCCTGGTGTCCTTACTCTCGGGACTCTTTTTTAACTGTTGCAGTGTTGGCTGGCTTGTAGCTCTAGTACTATAGACTGCCGCAGGCAGCGATCCGCGGGCTATACTAGTGCTCATAGGGTATATGTACCCCAGGGTACTGCCGGAACGTACCCTGGGTACGGTCCGGTATACCGGAACGTACCCTGGTCACTATTTGATATGGTTAGGATTAGGGTTAGGGTTAGGGTTAGGGTTAGGATTAGGGTTAGGGTTCGGGTTCGGGTTAGGGAGTAGGCGTAGGCGACTCCCTAGACTCGTTACTTTACTTTAGTGGAGTAGACGAGGTACGGTTNTATGGAAAATACATCAGAAAACTTATACTTATCTAGCTATTAGGGTTAGGGCACTTTTTAGGGTTTTTGCATCATTCTTTAATATATCGTAAAATATATGTTAAAATTAGAAGTGCCTAGTAAACATATCCTACCACCCCTTTCAGCCGGCTGCGTTTTCTTCAGTCAAAGCAAATCGAAGCAGCCAATCAGAAGGCGCTAAATCCTTCCGTTTGGGAAAAAAAATTTTGCGGTCGGGCGAATAGCCAGAATTCCCTATTGGCCCGACGGTCGGGCGAATAGAAAGAATACCCTATTGGCCCGACGGTCGGGCGAATAGCCTCGGCCCATGTTAAGCGCGGATAGGCCCAATGCCCTATCCAGATATTATTATAGAGATCAGTGGTGCAAGCTCATGTTGCTACATCTTTTACCCACAGGGACTTGAGGCGAAAAAAAAAAATGTTATATATATAAATAGGGGAAGGGATCTAACTCCCGCACGCTGGCGATCACAGTAACCTTTCATTTGAGCTCCAACCGCAGACAGAAATTCACACTTATTCTATCAACTTTTGCACCATATCACAGCCAGATATTTATATATATAACACTTTTTTTTTTCGCCTCAAGTCCCTGTGCTTTTACCAATGTACCTTCTATTAATAAATATTGTTTTAATCGATTAGGAATATTTTCGCTCACCAGATGTCGTTACACGGTATTTCAGTATGGACGCGCCCAGCAGGTGAACCTGATACAGTAGTATTACTATTACTTATTAGTATTTACTATTAGTATTAGTATTCATATGATATATTATAGGCCTACGTAGGCCTACTCATATTAATATTTGAGTATTATTAGATAGAACTTACAAGATAATGTTAATTATAATATTGAAAATGTCGTAATGTGTTGAATTGTTTCGTATCATGCGTCAAGTTGAAGTATCAACTTATTATAACTTATAGTTATAAGTTATATTTATAAGTTATAAACTTATAATGATTATAAATTTATAATATATATTATTATTACTATTAGCTCCAAGAAACGGTCTTTGCTAGGGTTGGAAGAGCTGATAATGTCTATGTCCCCCAGGGTACTATCGGAGGGTACCTGGTACCTTGGGTACGGTTCAATATATCGGAAAGTAGGGCTGAGAGTAGCCCGACCAGGCTGTGCGACGGATTGCCTATACAGCCTGACACCCTTCCATACAAAAAACCTATCACCTCTGCAGATCTAGATGAATAACTCTGTATATCTCAAATAAAACCATTCCATTACCACCTTTGACTTGCCTCGTTTAAAATATGAACGTTAACTCACAGTTGTCCTGCTTCTAAACTAGAATGTATCTCTTAATTCACGGTATAATCTGCTAATTCTCACAGCATATCAACTTTCAAATCAGCTTTACCCGCCATGTTTAGCAAGGCACGGAAAACCCAAAACGGAAAAGACTCGCTAAAAAATACTACAGAAATAGTACGATGGCTCTCACGGCAATTACACACCAAAGCAAGTGAAACGATGTTCACAAATGTCTGGGCCATTTGTAAAAGCCTTAGATGACATGTTCTCGGATGTTGGGGTGGTTTACATGAGGACCGCAGATCGTTTAATTTCGCTTGTTCGATCCATTGCGGATTTTAGTCACAGTCGGAATGATAGCAAACATGGCGGCGAATTCATAAATGTTGTTGCATTCGTCTCAAAAAGTCGCTGTAACCCCGTAAGTACCCAGCGCATCGTAGCGCACTGATGGTTACAAGAAGGTGGACGTTTACTGATTAATTTGGTATATCACATGTGTGGTGTTTTTTGGCGATACTTGGAATATAAGGCAACTACGTGTTTAGCTGTAGCCAAGGTTTGAAGCGGTATTGTAACCCTAGCAATACCGTTTCTTGGAGCTAGGCTGAGAGTAGCTCTACTAGTACTATAGCCCGCGTTCGATTAACTGCCGCAGGGCTATAGTACATTGTCGGCTGGAAATACCAACTGCAACCTGTTACCACCTGTCCCCATGTAGATAAATAAGTGTTAAAAAGCCCGATAACTTTGCGTTTTGCGATCCATTTTTCATGGGGACAGGTGGTAACAGGTTGCAGTTGGTATTTCCAGCCGACAATGTACTATAGCCCTGCGCAGTTAATCGAACGCGGGCTATAGTACTAGAGCTAGGCTGAGAGGGTCTATGTCCCCCGGGGTACTGCCGGAACGTACTCTGGGTACGGTCCGGTATACCGAAACGTACCCTGGTACTATATTATATGCCGGACCGTACCTCACCTACTCCACTAACGAGTCTAGGGAGTCGCCTACGCCTACTCCCTAACCCTAACCCTAACCATATCAAATAGTGACCAGGGTACGTTCCGGTATACCGGACCGTACCCAGGGTACGTTCCGGCAGTACCCTGGGGGACATAGACCCTATGAGCGAAAGTAGGGTACATGTCGCTGCGTACCCTCATTGTCCCACCGTGCCCTGACTTGTAACTGATGTATTTCCAATGTTGTAAAACTGAAATATAAAACTAGCTAGCTCTTCGTTTAAAAAACGGAAAAAGAAAAATATAGTCAAAGATAGCAAAATTTTTTTATTGGATTGCGATGTTTTGAGGTTTCTTCTATGTGATGTGGTAACATGACAGAGTGTATGTATTACGACATCAGTTGGCTGAAAGTCAGGGTACGGTGGGACAAGGCAGGGTACGCAGCAACATATCGTAACGATAAAATGTCTTAGAACCTTCGTATTCACCAAATCCAATGAAATCATGCACGATTACAATTTTGCGTTTTGTTTCTGTTTACCGTTGCCATCTCTCGGACTTTCTCGCGGTAGCGCGAGACATCTATCATGGTGCAGTAATGCATACTGTTGCACCGTAGAAATCAGGTCAGAGTGTAAACACAGACGTTCTTACTATCGTAACAGCAGTGTAGTACTAATGCCACATAAAGTCTGTTATTAGAGAAGCTTGTGGATTGCCAGTCAGATAGTAACACGGGAATGACAATGACAGAAAGTGCTCTAAATTATTGACCTAAAAACTCATTAATATTTACCAAACAAAATTGCACGCCCTTTTGTTTTAATTGTGTGCACTTGTTTAAAGACGCCATTTGTGATTTTGAGAGTCGAGACACGATAAAAGTTATTGCTGGTATGATGTGGTCAAATCAGTTTTTCTATGCTATAACTGCATAAAATCTTGGTGTTTTGAATGTTGGTATAATCAGTGATATTTCGACTGTCAGGTGAGACTATATTCAGATATATTTAGTTTTTCTGAGCCAAAAAACTCGCAATACACGCTTTAATTTCGCACCCTGTATATATATGCAAAGATATCCTAGTTCACGTATCTACCATCACAGCCCTGCCAAGGTACTACAGTACCAGTTCCAGTATTTACAAGGTAGTGTACGTGTTACATCCTGCACACTCACATTGCCTTCCTAAGAAACTATACCACCTCAGCACCTGAGGTGCCACGTCTACATTCCACCTACTCTGCATTTCCTGCGGAAATGGAAGTGCTTTAGAGTTTTAGAGTAAAGTAGTTGGCAGAAAATGTGTTAACATGGTATTTTTACTCACTAACTTCATACCTATGAACAAATAAAAGAGATTTCGGTCATCGCGTTTTGTGGCCAACAGCATAGATCGACTGGCTTTATAAAATCACATCTGGTGGCATGATGGCAGTAAACTCTCTGAAATTTATACATAGCTGTGAACTTATTGTATTGGGTAAAAATGCCAAGGTAATCCATTTTTACCCCACTACTTTAATCTAACAATAAAGTCCTACCACTTCTGCAGAAAATTAAGTTTGTCAGAGGTCAACAAGCAACGTATTTTATTAGGTAGTTTGTGTGCAGAACCTAACACCTCACCCCATTACTGTTAGGATAGCTTGCAGCTGCCATGCCTTTGTTAACAATCTACACCAGTATTTGATAGCAGTTGCTGTTGTTTTGCGACAGTTGTGCACATGCTGTCAATGGATGCTCTGACATATCATCGTAAAGCAGCAAATGCTATAGAATTTTGGTTCAAATGTTGTCCTAGGTATGTAACCCAATAGCAAATAATGTTTAGTAATGGTAACTAGTAATGGCAAACACGACTGTATCTAGTAATACTACGGGTATTTTACAATATCTTGACAATAATTTTGAATCTTGTTTTTTTACAAAGGAAAAGACCGAGAAGCAAAGAAGATAGTGACTGTTTGCCAATATCTAAACGATTAAATAGACTCTATATAGGACCAGCAGGGTAATTACCTTTAGTTTACATCTTGTAAATCTTAAATGTGAATGGAAATTTGGAGTTCCTTTTAATTACTATTATTAATACTTCCATTATTATTTTTAAACTGTGATCAAGTTTTATGTGTAAACAAAATGTTCGTCATTATATGGACACATGATGGGAGATACAGGTACATCATAATATAAAATATAATACAGTCAAACTTGCATAAGACGCCATCGTCTAACTAACACGTCAATTCGCTGAAGTCGTCATGGAAGTCAAAGTCCCGATTTTCTCTAATGATAAATCCATTTGAATAGCCCCGCCAAAGTCGTCATTTACAAGCCGTCATTATGTACAAGTTGTCGCCCTCAGACAGGTCCCATGTAATACTTACCATATACAGTAATACTACCCAGAAGCGTTCACGTCTCGGCCCCTGTCAGGTTTCACATCTGCAAATCCTTTTACCACACTACACTACACCTCATTATGTCTACCCATGAGAAATGGGGTTACACTGAAGATGGCCCAACCGAATGCGACTGCGGTGGAGGATCAGACTATGGGACATCTCCTGAAATACCAGAGTCCTGTAGGCCTGGAGACCTTGAGGCTTTCAACCACCATGCCAAGTCCTGTGTGCTGCAGTGGCTAGGCCGAGTGTAGTGTAGTGACCCGAGAAGAAGAAGAAGACCCATGTAGTACCTTTGATTATTTACTGAACATTTTAGTGTTTTATGGCATCAGGTCAAGTAATTTTGAGATGACACCATAGTGCATGTACTCAGTGGCGTACGCAGGGGGGGGGGGTTGACACCCCCCTTGCCTCTGTCCCAAACAAACATTTTTTTTAAAAGAAGAGGAGAGGAGAAAAGGGAGAGAGAGAGAGAGAGAGCGTGTGAGGTCTCGTCAATATGTGAATCATGTTGCAGATGATTACAGCTAGAATCTCTACCCTCAGCTGGGGTGGGAAACGCCGTCGTAGAGTAATTCCAAGCGTGTAGAATCAAACCTATTTGACCAATGTCCGCCAGTCCCGCTGTATGTCTCGTTGTCAGTCTATTACTCGCGGCACATCTAGACGATATCTGATGTGGTGATGGACTATTGCATGCTGGATGAATTTAAGCTGATGCTGGATGCTGATGCTGAATGTTGATGCATGGAGTGCTGATTGCTGAGCTGATTTGATGATTGCTGATGCTGATGCGATGCTGATGGCTTGATGATGATGCTGATGCGAT